CGTTTCAAGATCTACGCGATTTATTTGACACTATTTGGCTCTTAACCGTATATGGCGGACGGCAGGACCGGCACACGGCTTTGGACCAATCAAAGATGGGGTCCTCAAAGGACCCCGATTGTAGAACCACGTGGCATCTCTCTTTCCATCTTTAGCCAAGGTGGCGGATGCTGGTCAAGGGACTCAAGAGAACAGACATGACCTAGCTTGGGGCGTTGGAGATGCGGTCTCCAGGTGAAAGCAGCATACTTCAATGTCAGCTGTTTTACATAAATGTCTTGTATACTCAGAACCTGAGGGAGGAGTGAGTGGACATCTCTTCAAATCGTTGAGGTGAATGCTCAGTCGGAAATCATGGCTGGAACACAACTGCTTTCGCAAAATAAATATATTAGTATATGATGCTGCTCAGGATGTCAAGTTTTCAGCTTGCTACCAAATCTTATCTATGTCTACGGTAGCGGGCTCTGCCGCTCGCACGGCCCTACCGCCTTATTGTGGCAAATCATAGGAAACGCGGGCTGTCACAGGCCACGTGAATACACTGTGACACAAATGTCGCACGCGTCTCTGTTCTTTTCCTCCCGTTATCCATCATTCCTTCAACAACGACCTTCCCTGACCATCACTTCTCAGTAGGCTCTACAATATAACTGTGTCCGGCTGCCTCACGGCGAAGATCCTCGCTGATATTACGCCGACATAGTTGAAACGTTGAACCATGATTCGACGACCGCAATCAACAGCTCGGGCGTCAGCGAAGAAGGGGTCCCTGCTCAATTTCTTGATCTTTGACGAGCGACCGCATTGCGCTACAACGTTTCAATTGTGCTGTAGTTCGAGATTGACGTCGGACGCTGCGCATATAGCTATTGGTAAGCCCTTCCTCAGTGCTCGCATCCTGGTCCTGGTACTACTACTCACTTGGACTTGTTTGGGCAGAGCCGACCAGTCGCTGAGCCTGCACTGTGCTTTCATTAGCGTTGTCGTACTCTGCATTCGTTGGGATTCATGGACTCCGACGACACCCGCCATACAGGTCCCAAGACCTACCGTTCGATATTCTCTCAGAAATCTTCATCCTGCCCCTTCCATGGCGCCCTTATATCAGTACCAAACCCTTTGACGCCCCTCTAGTTTTTCTGCAAGTACGTTGGGGCTGGCGAACAGTTGCGCTCTCCATCGAGGGCCTCTGCAAATTGCTCCTTGTAATGTTCACACACGACTCTACCGGCCTATCCCGAGCCTGCCTCATGCAAGACTCGCTTGCGCGTTCTGGCACTGGTCCATATGCCTCGCCGTCCACAACGAATGCTAGATTCAGACCCGTAGGGCACCTGGGCTGAGAGACTGCCTGTCTCTTCTGGCTGATCACATGCCCAGATCCAAAGAAATATGCCTTTCGCTGTCCCTGGGGCAACTCTGCATTTCTGATATCGTCCCGGTGCCGCTGCTCGAGGAAGTCTGTGTATTCACGCATGCTGATGAATGAAACAAATCCGGGATGTCTTTCAGTCTGTTCGGGCCATCTCCTCGACTTCGTTTCCTCGCATGCGACTGGTGCTCCGTTGTGATTTTCAACGTCCCTCTGTCCTACCATTATTTTCCATGCCTGGACTTCCCTTACTCTCAACTCACTGCTCTGGACATGCGGAGTGTCGTGCCTCTATGGCAATGCCTTGATATCCTGCGAACTTGTCTGAACCTAGTTCACTGCAAACTCCACGTTGGACGTGGAGCTATCGACGGCGACCTGGCTACCATCCTTTGCGCCTAACGGAGCTCCAGACTCTGACTTTTGAGAATACTTTCGACGCCCTCGTTCATGGTGTCGTGGGTGCCCTGGTCCTACCTGTGGAACCTGAGGTGAGACTTTCTTGGGAATTCAAATCCGGGTTAACTAAAAGCTAAATGTGAAATGTGACAGGGCAATGATGCGAAGTTCGTCATGGCGGTTTCCCCTCTTCTCCATACTGCTCTCTTCTCCACCCTTGCAAGCAACAACCAAACGTGCACATAACGCTCCCTGCTACATTATTTTTCCCTTGACGAGTGTGTTGTTTCTAACCGTATGTTGAGAGGGCGCGCACTTTGTCCTCTTATCGTGCTCCGGAATTGCTGATGTTAGGATTTGGTGCCGCTGCGTTGCCAGGTTATTTGACGTATCGCGTCTCCCTCGTTTGTCGCCACGTTTTGTAGCATCACATGTTGCTGGCATCCGAGTCATTGCATCTGTCTCGCTGCATCGTTCAGGGAGTAGTACGCGACAGTACACTTGCTAGGTCGACACAAGGAGTAGCTGCGCACCAGTATAGTTCCTGCTGTTGCTGCTGGGCGGTAAAATGCACTACCGAATCTTGCCACAAACCTCTGATGAGCGTGAGCTGTACCATTATAGAAGAGACGTTACTCTTGCTTCACGTACCAATGCTGCAGCCCGTTGAATTTGCCCCCACTTCGACGAGGGCCGAATCTCGACCGTCAAATCAGGATTAGCAACGCCTGGAACGCATCCACCGCTTTAGTCTTGTACCGTACCGCCATCTTAGGGAGCTGCACCACGCTGTAGACGTCGAACAAGGTTCAACAAAGCTCGTATCTTTCCGTATTCTATGGTCTATATCCGCCTTGAATCAGCGTATCTGGAGGTATCAGCCGGAGCCAAACAGCGGAAATCACTGACAACAATAAGATGACGGGACGGCAGGCACTGCCGCACCCCATCGGGCGTCGGTCTCATGATAGTAGACCTCCCTCGCCGACGAGTAATACACGAAGGGACCGCAGGCGGACGTCGTCAGATGCGACGCCGACGACACCGAAAGCGTCCGAGCAGCCGTTCCCATCGTACCTCGACGCAGCGCCGAGCGCGACAGGGACGTCGAGGCGCCTGGGCTTCCTCGGCGACATACTCTCTTCGAGCTCCTCGCTGAACCGGGAGCGTGACAAAGAAAAAGAAACAGCCGGAGCCGCTGTTGTGTCTGCGATCAGGACGGGAACACCGATCCCTGCACAGCTGCTGCCACCGCGGACGCACTCGCGCGCCGACTCTGCGCTCAGCGCCCTCTCCGTTCCCCGGGACTCGTCGGCCTCGCCAGCACCAGCCATGGCGTCCTCGTCCAGCACCCCGGCGAGCACTAGCCTCAAGTCGCACACGTCCCCATCAAAGGTACGCAGCCCCATCACCTGCGGGCATAGCACGCACTCAGTTGACGTCCTCGGCTACGGCCACCCACCCTTCGGAATTTGATGCCGACCCCACACAACGCCAGCCCGCCTCGGGGAGAACATATGATTCGAAGCTCGTGTCGCGCGAGATGCATCGTCTGGGGAACCTCGCGCACCTCCCGGGCGTGGTCGCTGCCGCCGCTTCTGCCACCTCGCTCGCGCTCCCAGGATCCACGCCCGCTATCCAAGCTCCTATGATGGCCACCATCAGCTCGTCCGACAATCCATGGGCCCAGCTGCATGTGCACGTACTGCCGCTGTTCAACGGCGAACCGCTCAGAATTCCGATGTACGTCATCACATTCCTGTAATCACTCCATCTGACTGGATTGCCTGCAGTGAAGACCTGAACGCGCTGGTGAAGAAACACATACAGACGGTCATCTCTGCCTCGCCGCCTCGAGCGGTGGCTACTCTCGAGCACGATGCATCAGAGCTGATAGCAGCGGGCATGGTCACGTTCAACGCGAAGCTGGTCGGGGTGGAGGACGAAGAGCTGGTGCGGAGGGTCGTAGAGCGATGGATATTCTTCTGGGATCAGGTTCTACCTTACGTCGAAGGGGTGCGTCTACCTAACATTGTGCACATCTCACTGCTCCTTACGCGCCTCAGGCTCTCCTCCCATTGCAAACAGACCCCCTCCTCCTCGGCCTGTACCGCCCCGCCAAAACACACCGCTCCTCCTCCCCGACACGCCCCGGCACCCTCATCTCCTCGCCGCAGATCGACGTGCGCACGGTCGCGCTACGCGGCTTCCGCGACCGCGTCATCCTCCCGCTCTTCCCGCGCCTGAACGCGCGGCTCGAGATCATGAAGCGCGAGATGAAGGAGGGCCTGTTCGGCGGCGGACCCGGGGAGAATCAGATCATGCCGCGGCTGCAGCAAATGTGCGTTTAACTTTCCCCCTCTTTCTCCCTGCATCCCTGATGTACCTGCAGGCTTCTGGTGCTGGCGTCGCAGACTCGCCAGCGCCCGAGCACGCTCTCGCTCACGGAGCCTGCCCCGCAGCCCACCGCGGGCGAGGTTGCGATCACGCAGCTGCTCCGGACGATCCGCTCTCCGCTCTCGACGCTGCCGACGAACGCGACGATGCGGCGCAGCCGTACGCCCAGCTTCCTGAGCGGGCAGGTACCGCGGGACAGAAGGGGAAGGATTGGGCAGAAGCCCGGGTGGATGCGCGCCGAGAAGATTCTGGGGAGAGGGGACGAGGGTAAGTCATCTTTCTGGTCAGTGGAGGGTGAAGGCTGACGAGTGTGGGTGGTGTAGACGCGGACGAAGATGGAGGTGAGACGCCGCGGAACCTGGGTTACTTCGAGCGGTCGGAGAGGGAGAAGGAGCGCGAGTTTCTCGATTCGCTGCGGTACGCCTTACATTTCCTCTTCCTTTACTCGACTCACCGATGAGTGATCATAGGAGCCCTGATCCTGAAGGTGCCAATGCGCGAGCTAGCGGGGGTTGGGGCCTGGGTGGAGGCATGGAGGAGCAGGCCAAACCGGAGGAGGACGACGAGGATGAGGCCCTCGATTGGGATCAGGCGCAGGTGCGTTGGCTCGGTCAACTCTAGCGGTACGGGACTGACTTGACCATAGGCTGTTGTGGAACGTATGGTGGGCATGAAGCCGAATGATCAGCAGCCGAGTCGGAGGATGACATGAGCGTTGGCGCATTGGTCTTGTTATGTGTTGCTTTCACTTTCAATCTGCATCTGTAGTCCCGCTAACGGTAAATTATGCATATGGTGTATTTGTAGTAATCAGCACTAAAGTAGGTCCAGCACAGTAATTCCTTGATCTGATCTTGCTCCGCCCCCGGAGAAGCAATTCCTTTACCTGGGCCGGGACAAATCACTGTCCTTGTAGAATGTTGAGCGTGAACAGGAGATCTCCCTCGTCGCTGGCAAAGCCACAAGTCACTGCTCAACATGCCGCAACGCAAATCCAGCATAGGAGTGCAATGTTACTGATTCACGCAAGATTCACGTGTAGACTAATGCACGGTGTCAGAAGTCAGCATAGTGACAATGGGCCGTTACATGCACTCGTACTGGGCGGGTGTTCCGCGATCTTTAGAAGGTCAGTACATAAAAATTGGATGCCTCAAAGTCACCATCATGCTATGGGGTAGCTCATCATCACTGAATTCGTCACATTTACTCCAGAGCTTACCTCGGAAATGATCATGCTGTCCTCGGTGAGCGCAATATACACCTGGTTGGGCCTCTGTATTCCTGTCTGTTGCGCGGGAAGAGCCACGGCTTTACTGGTATACTGCAAAACAGTCTCGGTTCTCAATTCCTGCTCGTCTTCTCCGATCCAGTACGCGGCATGGGCTTTTCTCGTATAGTTCAAAGACTTCGCATCCCCCTGCACGGATTTGCGGGGCCGACGGCGCTGGCTCCTGTTGAAGTCGCAAATCTGCACTGTAAATTCTGACGAGCCTGTGCCTTCCGGTGATGGAAAAGCGACCCTATTTGCAGCCTCCATCCCTGCAGATGTGAAACCCTCCTCCAAGCATGTTCCGTGCGGTATGACGGCCCCTACTGGACAAAAATATAAACCAGCTGTCGTGCTGGGTCACCACCGGGCGGGGCCCAGTCGGACCAGTCCCACACCATCCCGTGCTGGAGACGGGAAGTTCAAGTCAGCACCGAGGCCGGGATGAAGTGCGTGTAATCTCGCCCTCTGTTGCTTCCGGGGGAACAACTCTTAGGTATGCAATGACGAACCTCTCACCGCCAGCTGGGAAAAACGGGACTTGGCGATCGCTGCTGCGAGTCCAATCCGGTATAACATCCACCTCCAGGTAGGCTGCACAAGCACAAACTATGCGGTCGATACAGGAAAGTGCAGAAACTCTCAGTCGATTCATGTTGGACACCGAGCGCAGGGGCCTGCTCCAGATCATAGATCTTCCATGTACACGAGGGTTCTTGGCTGATCGACAGAAGGACGAACTATGCTCTGGACTAGGTGAGATGATTACAAATTATTCAAACCCCTGAGCCCTATAAAAGTTATTTCTTACTAGTGGCTGATATGGGGGATATCTTGGGCATAGTTTGGGTATATTCAGTTATCTGAGGTACCTACCCTTCTACACCACACTCGCATCCAAGGGGGGTTCTCATATCAGAGTTCTATAGTGAGCTGAATATAAGGGGTCATATCACCATAATGGAGAACCATGGTGAGATTGTGCGAGAAACGACCAAGCTGGTGACCCATCTCACTATGGTATTGTAATATAGCAGCAATGTGTCTTAATACTAGTCATCAGTCAGCCTCTCTAAGCTCCTGGATTTGGCTATAGACTACCACCCCACACTATCATGGGCCCCAAAGTCATGCATCAGCAAATTGTCCCGCGGCTGGTAGTGGCTGGCACTTATTCCAGTTATTTTAGCACGTCTACAATCGCATTACCAGCCGAATACCAGACTTGTATTTATGATAAGCCAACCGCCTGTTGAGATACGCTTACCAGAGGATTATCTTATCATTCTATATATATACCCTTAGCAACAAAGCAACCACCAGCGCCTGACTGATGCGCGTCGCCTCACGTGCTAAGTTCAACATGGCGGACTTTGAACTTGACTTAAAAGCGCGCCGCAGTTCGACATCGTCACTCATCCCCTCTCTCCCTCGTATCACGACTAAGTCCCTTACACAGCCCTCACATGCTTCTGAATGGTGACATCGACGCCGTCTACTATAACTCTCCGCGGGTAAGTTCTCTTTGTGAACCCGTTGCCTCTCCTTAAACCGCCTAAGTACCTTCCTACAGCGCGTGTACGGCGGGGTTGATGTGACCTAGAAGTGGCCCTCATCGTGTATCGACATGTCTTGGTTGTGGGTAAGCCATTTCTCTCTGTTACTGTGTGCCCATATTCATAGGTTCTCAGATTGTCGGAGAGACAAGTCTGAGTCATGCTTGCTAGGTATGTTTAGTGACATGACTGATGACTGAGTGTTCTGATCCGTTCTGCAGGTCTACTGCTGCTGGGTTCTACACATACAAGATGACTAGTGTACCAGGTATGTCTCTCATCTCCCCTATCTGGTTTGTAGTGACATGGCTTGCTTTCCATTGAGTAGGTTGTGTGGAGGGTATGGGTCAGCAGATAGTACTGTGTTGAATGTCTAGCCATAGCAAATCCTGTCTAGTAGCTAGTCTGAGCAATTATACACTGTTTATTGTGTTCATCAGCCAATGCCCCCCTTTTTGTTCCAGGGATCTGGAATATCAAGCAAAAGACAGCTGATAGTCTGATTATGGGTCAAAGCAAGCTGGCCTGAGC